CCCCAAAACCCCAAAACCCCAAAACCCCAAAACCCCAGAGGATTAATATCGCAATAAAGAGTGGAATAAACTAAGAAAATAAATAATTTTCATAATTATAATTCAAAGTGCAGTAATGTCATCGTAAAATTTCAACAGAACTGGCAGCACATCCCAAGCTGTAAACAGTTCCTAGGGAGCAAATACTTAGCAGACCTACCAATCTCGATAAACACTTATTAAGAGCTATCAGTCGCAAAACTCTCGATTTAATTTGAATTTGAAGGATGTAGGCTAGAATTTGTATATAGATGAAAGTGATGATTTAATTAGAAATTTATCAACAACTGAAAGATAAATTAATCAACAGTAGCAAATATAGAATCAATATAGCACCCTAATTGTTATTGAAAATTCTAAATAGCAGACAGCATTTTAAGACTCTGTGATTAAAGTAAATGAACAGAACTTAAAGATAAATTATGAGGACCAGTTTGAAAAGAATTACTCTTTTTCCTCAATTTTCTCTAATACCAAATAACTCATAAGAAAATAAATAGTGGACGCTATCAACAAAAAGCATGATGTATTTAGTATTGCTTATGGTCAGATAGAAGGGAAATGCAAACAGATTATATTGCCTAATATGTTCGATATAATTCATGAAATGGGAATAAAGAACAAATTGTAAGAATTGCTTTCAACTTTACTAAATAAATATTTAGGCAAATAAAGGCAGAATTTCATGTCATTAGACCTAAAGATATAAAGAAATTAGTGATTCTTTTAGATCCTTCTCCTTAGGAGTTTAAGGCGGCGTTGCAAAAACTACCTAAGATTTGTGTAAAAATCTCTCATCTCTTGAATTAACTGTAGCATAAACTTATTGTTTTGAAATTGGAGTCTCCTTAGAATGAATTGATAGTACTGAAATATTTGGATGTTTATGGTTTCACAAAGTCTCTAACTAATAAGATAATGAACAACCAGTGCCTGTAAGATCTGATAGAATAAGCAGGAGATAAGAATAAGATAAGTGAACAGGATTTAATTGAGAATGACATCTTCTCGCTCAGAGATATGATAGTTGATTTTAGCTCTCCTGAAACCGTTTAAAATAAAACTATTTTGAGTTAATTGGTAAGAGAAGAACTGCTCAAAAGATAAAAGATATGCCTCATAGGATTCATTCAAAATAGCATTCAGCATTTCCACGAAAATTTAAACACTTTAGAATTTTGCAGCAGATTTCAATATAGCATGAGAGAATTCGATTTACTCAAGTAAACATCAGATGATGAAATAACAGAAAGAAGCTTTGAAGATCATGATGTATAATTCAATCCATAGTACCCAACTGACAATAACAATGATAATTAGTGTGATAACCCTTAGCCGATTCTCAAATTTATATAGCAATGCCTTAACAATTCATAATCAAATCTTTAGAAAGCCTAAGCAAGCGAGATAACATCTTTATACCCACTCACTAGTAGCTCTATGAGCACCATTAACATAGACAATCCGGACTAGCAATCAGTTCAAAAGTACTAGGAATTGAAATGCAAAGTGAACAACTTCCTAACAGAGTTGAGAAAGTCAGACAATCATGTTCAGGTAAAAGACTAATTTATAAATGAGCTAATTGACATTTTCTAATAATCAAGACGTTTAGATGATTCTTCCAGCTAGATAATATCATAGCAATCTGATTTTAAGTTTCCTGATGGTTCCTCTAAAATTTCTAAGCAAATGCTTATCATTGAGACATTATCAGCTTTAAGTCAAAGTTTATAGAGCTCTCAATAGTAAAATCAATTCAAAGAAGCATCAGTTCTCTCCAATTTGCAGCATCAAAGATAAATACTAGCATTCGATAACCAGAATTAACAGTAGCCTAAGATGTCTTCAAAGGATCCATAAGTTAAAATAAAGTTCAAAATTGATAACATGAATTCATTATCTCCAATCAGGAAAAGCACTAAGGAAATATAAAATTCAAACTCAAAGGCAAGTAAATAACTGCTGAAAAGGACTGTAATTGATTGTGAAAACCAAAACTCAAACATCCAAGACTCAGATATCAAAAGCGTTCCAAAAAGAAGACTAAACTTCAATAATTCAATTCTCAAGAATGTTTAGATTATTGAAAAATAGCTCAGCAATTCTGAATATGAAAAAATGCAATAGTCAATTGTAAATGAAATGATAATAACCTAGAGTTTATTTAGCTCATCCTAAATCGAAAACAAGCCAGAGTCTAGCAATAATAATTAAAATCAGCAATAGTTATCATCTCATGTAAACTAAGAAGAAGAGTTAAATTAAAGTAATCAGAATAATCAAAATTAAGATGAGAGCAATCACTTGAATATCTAGTCAGAAGAGGAGTCTTAAGATTAAATCTAGCCAAGATAATTGGAGTATCAATTATAGATACCCTCAAATGAAAGAGAATAAGAAGTTATCGCTGAGTTTTAGGACGATATTAAAGATATTACAAACAATACTAGTGAAGACTACCATTAGGCAATGCTAATAATAAGATAAAGCTTTGCTTAATAGTCTTAATTCTTTGGCACTCTAGGTTAATTCTTTCTGTAGCCTAAAGAGAAAACAAAAAAAAATCAATTGCTTAAATGCATATCGTGCAAATCGTTGAAGTAAGATTAAGCTCTATGAATTAGACCAAATTAAACTGAGGAAATATAAGAAGCAGCTTATCTGACGCATAGAGAGAGTTAGAAAGGATCTGTTCACAGATATGAAAACTATAACTCCTAGCAAGTCAAGTAAATTTAGAGACCGAGGAGGGGCAGTAGTTCTAATTTAAGTTTTATAAACAGAAATTTGGAATTCAACTCGAACATCGCCAGTAATAACTAGAATAAAAACTTACAAGAGATTCGATAGCTTATGCCAGAGTAAAAGCAGATATATTTTAGCAATTAGACGAGGAGATCTAGAAACTCAGAGATGGAGTAATACCAGCATCACATGAATACTGAGAGATTTACTTCTTTACCATAGTTGGTCAAACCACCTATTGCAAAAAATTGTGTGAAACTAAAGCATCATTAATAGAAGTCTGATTTTTTGGCATCTATTTAGGATAACAGAAATCTGAATAAGGTTACTCAGCAAAACTTTATGAGGGAATAAGCAATTAAAAATGATTCAAATCAATACATAAGTAAAAACTAACTCAAGACTCATCTATATAATTCAGACAGAAAGTTTAAAGACGATGAATGATTTAAGTCATTCCTATCAACAATTAAACGTTTGCATTAACAAAATTATTAAGATTACACAGTTTTAAAATTAACTTAGTATTAAGGGGTTTTGGGGTTTTGGGGTTTTGGGG